TGGTGGTGGTGGTGGTGGTGGTGGTGGTGGTGGTGGTGGTGGTGGTGGTGAATGAGCAGACGAGCCCGCGTGACTTTCGGGCACGCCGTGATACGGCGGAAGTGTGTGTGAGGCTGCGACGACCGGGTTACTGGGCGTGAATCAACACGATTCACTACAAGTGTATCGCTTCCAGATTAAAAAAACCGGCCTCGAATCAGTGATTAATGACAGGGTACTAGCTGGAGTGTTGCCGGCGGTTCAAATACAGCCCAGCCCTAGATGCTGCTTAACGATTTCATGAGGTACAGTTCAAGCAGATTGTAGACCACCTAGGGCTCTCACCGTTTCACCTCAACTCGCTAAGTCCAACAATTTGACCTCATCTCGAGGTACGCCAATTAGGTGTAGGTGTGTGTAGCGCTATATTCACACAACATGCAAACATCTTTGTGAGAATCAAGCGCACAGTGGATTAGACCGGCAGAAACCTCAAAGAGGGTGTAATTGCGTCTAGGCTGGGGTTTGTAAGGCCGTTGTGTCCGTCTGCTCAACCTTGGACCGTCTTAATATATATGGAGACCCACAATTAGACACGCCATCGGTGTGGACAGGACAGCAAAGTGTGCACGTTGATCGATGAGTCAGACTTTCATTAAAAAATTTAACACACAGAGAAGACAAGTTGTACTCTCTCCGTATCTTTAGAATGAATTAAACGTATTGAATAGGTGTCGCAGAAGTTGACTGAAAATGTTTGCAGCACTCATCGTCCTGGGTCGACTTTGTGAATGAATTAGCGAAAAGGTATGGGTTAATCCAACATTCAACGTCCAGGTCACAACACCATCGTGTACTGGATGATTGAAAGGTCGTGATCGATTTGAAATCGGATTGTGCGCAGGACATTTTCATGAAAAAGAGTGTTCAATAATTAATACTTCATTCTCCATCGATTACCAAAGTTGTCAACAAGTTTTGAATTTATTCTCTAGATGAGCCTCAAGAAAGTGGCAAGCCAGCCTCGAATTCTTCCACAGAAACGTCCTTTGCATCGAACGAAACAGATGCAAGTCAGAAGCGGCGAATTTAGGAAACATAGAATGCTAGTAGGATGAGTTGCCCACGATACTGCTCTGCAGTTATTGCTTGACCAAGCGGAAGGGCTTCGTAATAAACATAATTACTTCTCCAGAAACCGCCTGTGTTCAGAGTGTCGTCGGCGGTTTCCAGGTGCAGTTTAGAACTTAGTTTCACCGCCACCACTTAGAGGTGCGTTGAAGTCTGCCTCTGCATCCAAACGCACGCACGAATTCCTAACCATGGTTGATGTAGACGCCAGAAGTACCCATTCACCCACCCTGCATCCAGCTACGTCAAAAAAAGCCAACGTTCGCGCAACACTTTGTACACACCGCAGCATGCAAAGATTTCACTTAATAAAACATTTTATTTTTGAAGAAACCGTCTTTTCTTGCTTTTGTTGTGATATATATGTATATTGTATAGAAGGAGAGACGGTGAAGGAGGATAAGAGTGAACCAGATAACACATCAGGAGCGGGCGACCCATACGCCACACAGAACACGAACGGGCGACAGACAGACGGGAAAGAGGAGAAATGCAGAACGTCGTGGCCGTCCCCCTGGCGCGGTGGGTGCGCGTGCACTAGTCCCCCGCTGTTCCACTTCCCCCCACCACCTCCCCGCCTCCCCCTGGATCGCTGTCAGCCGCCTCCGCGGTAGCGCCGGAGCTGGTTCGCGTCGGACCGTCCGACAAGACTTCGCTGCCGCCGCCGCCACCACTAACAGTGTCGCGCGAAGGTGGACTGATTGGTGCGGGCTGCTGGGTTGAACCGATATTACTTCCTGCCATTGCTAGCTGGCTTCTCAGTTTAGATAAGAACTCTGGTGGTGACAGACTGTTCGAAGCGGCCTCCAGATCCACCACGCCGGTGTCGAATCGCTGAAGATGCGGCGGCGGCGGGTGGATCGGAGCCTTGTCTTCCCGAGTATTCAGCAGCACATTCAGCACGGCGCTGGTGCTATCAGAGCGTAATCGGTGGTGATGCTGCTGCTGCTGCTGTTGATGATGATGGTGGTCAGAAAACACGACCGACGGGGACGCCGAGGTTGTGGGGAAAGTCGGCCACCCGCCGCCCCCACCGAAATCGAAATCTGCGTCCGTGGAGCGTGGCGGGAACAGACTGCCAGCGCCGCCGCCACCACCTCCGCCACTCTCTCCGTAGCCCCCGCCGCCGCCGCCACCGACGCCATTCATGTAGCCAGTGGGAGCCCGCTGGTGGCCCCCACCTCTTCCGTCCGCGTCGGCGCCAACTCCTGCGCCGAGCATGTAGCTGTAGGGACCGTTGGGGTTCATGAGGTCTAAGCGCATGTTCAATTCCACAATCTGGTATTCCTTGCGCGTGAGAGTGGCTATAAGGGAGAGATACCATGCCATAATCTATCTGGTGATACGCAAACAGAGCAGGCAAGGGTTTGGTGAGAGTGGCATACAATTAAGCTCGGTGATCTCCTTGAGGGAGGTGTGGTAGCCGGCGAGGAGTTCCTGTTTCATCTTGTCCTCCGCCTTGAGCGTGGCCTTGAGGCGGGCGTTCTCGGCCTCAAGGTCGCCGAGGTGGAGCATCAGGTCGGCGATGCGGTGGCTCTGTTCGCTGCTCTGCTGTTTCAGCAGCATCTTTTGCTGGCGCTCAATGGCGTACGCGGACGAGCAGGTGGGTGGGGACGCGGCGCGGTTCGACTGCGACGCCGCGATCAGCTGCGCCTCCTTCATGGCCAATTCACGCGACAGCGCCTTCACCTGCGTCTCCAGATCGTGCATGCGGTGGGCACACGCCTCCGAGGTGCAACGGCTGATGATGCCGGCTGGCGCTCGGTTGGCGCCTACCGGCACCACGGCAGGTTTTGTTGTCGCGGCTCTGAAAAGCAGAAATACGAATACAACTAATTCGACCAATCGCATGCAGAGAATCAGCTTGGAGTGGCAAGGAGAGCCAGGATTGGTCCGAAAACTGTAGTTGTGTTGACGACACGAACGCAAAGCTTTAGAACACCGAACGATAAGTCTACGTGAGTTACATAAATTTTCACAGTAGCAGAGTTTAGATGGCAACTGATACACCGGAAATTCGATGGCACTGCAATTTTTGCGAACTTCAACGAGGAGCAAATTACCGACGCTGTTGTCTTATGAAACGTGTGGTTATTGGTACAAACTTTTTAGAAGTGGTTATTTCGATCTTAGTGACCAACCTCGTACCTGGATAGCCTTTAAAGTTTGAAGGTGCGGAATTGCAAGCTCTACTGGATGAAGACAGTGAAAACGCAACAAGAGCTTGCAGGTTGGTCATGAACCACCCAAACACCTATTTTCAAGCGTTTGCACCACCAAGTGGGAAAAATTAAGAAAACTTGGATGCTGGGTCCACCACATGTGTTGACCGAACACAACCTAGGTCAACGTATGAGCACATGCCTTCCACTGCTTGCCCGCCAGCAACGTAAACGCAAAGGGTCGTGGATGGACCACGGGCAACCCAGTACATCGACACCGAAACCGGACGTCCACTTGAAGCAGACTCTTCCATGTATCTGGTGGGACACGAAGGGTGTGCTTGATTATGAAATCATGGAAACTGGTCAGATGGTGGCTGTGGAAGGCTACAGCTGACATTTGAACAGACTGAACGAAGAACTTGATCGAAAAAAAGCCATTTACTGGGCAAGGAAGCAGGCAAGTCATAGTGCTGCTGCTGCTTGACAACGCTCGACCACCTGACGTCGCTTACACAACTCAGAAGATTCTCTTAAACTTGAGATGGAAAATGCTCCCACAAGCGGCATATTCACCAGACTTGGCCCCATCCAACTACCATTTGATCCGGTCAATGCAGCAGCAGTCCGCCTTAGTGGACAAACAGTTCCTAAAGCGCTCGACGATGCGCCAAAATTCGTCGACAGCTTTATCGCCTCGAAGCCTGCAAGTAACTTTTCCTACAGCATTCGAACGTTACTTGAGAGATGGCACAAGGTCGTGGAAAACGATGGACAATACTGCCAAGATTAAGTTCGTTGTTCGCTATTTTTATATGTAAAATAAATTTGCCCAATACGATTACAACTAAATCCACCAATAGCATGCCGAGCGTGGGGTTGGAGAACCGGGATTGGTCCGATAAGCTGTAGTTTTGCTGATTGCACTCTAGATTCAGGATGGTGGAACTGCATTATTCAGATCTGTGGAGTAGGCTGGCATGTGACCACGCGAGATAAGAAGACAACTTACTTGGAGCCAATGGATGGAGGTGTGGTGGAGGGTTGGCTGGTTGTGGAGGTCGTTGCGGTGCCGAACGACGCCGCCGTTGACGTCGCTTTGAGCGCCAACTCGGCCTCCTTGCGCGCACGTTTCTCGGCGGCCAAACTCACCTCCAGGGCAGCTCGCTGGCGCTTCTCCTCGGCCGCCTTCTTCTCCGCCACCTGAAGGTTCTCACGCTCCGTCTAAGACGGTAAATGTAGGCGTTAAGTTTCTGCCATAAGCACAGTGGAATTCCAAAACTCTGACACACTACCTACTCATTAAATTAAGTACGCATTGTATATAGAACGATGATCGATCAGCTGCGACAGCTAGACAGTGGGACTAACCTGAAGCCGTTGGGTCACGGTGGCCAGTTTGGACTGCAAGTGCTCGACCTCCTGCCGCGCCTGACTCGTCTCAGTGCGAGAGGTGCGTTCCAGCGTCGTCAGCTGGGTGACCTGGGCACGCAGCTCCGACTCCGTCACCAGCATGCTTTGGCGCTCGTGTCGCAGTTTCCGCAACTCGTCTTCAAGCCTACACGCGTAAAACACACACACACGAGAGTTCAGTATGGCTAGGAACAAAGCGAGGCGTCAAGCGCAAACAGATCCCCACCGATAGACAGAGGCGTCCTTGCCGGCCCTGGAGGACTTGTCCGAGGTCTTGGCTTTGCCGGTAGCGGTGGTGGAGGTGGCGACGGTGGTGGTAGGGGTGGCTGCGTTGCACTGTGACGGCGGCGGCGGCGGCGGTGGTGCTGGTGGCGGCGGCGGCGAGGTGGTGCTGGTGTTGGCGGTGGTCGTCGCGACGGACCGCTTTGAGGCGCCCGATGACGACGCCGACGACAATCGCGCGTCCAACGCCACCTCCTGACCCGAGAGTGACGAGGAACTCGAGGAGATCGCCGGAGCTTCACAGCACGGCGAGTACTCGCCCGACTCCTTCAACTGTTGCGTGTGGTGGTGATTGTGGTCTGTGCCATCGTAGCCACCGAAAAACTTTCGATCTGCGTTCTGAAACACACAAATCAACGCACACCGCTGACAAACAACACGAAAACGGAAGTATCTGACTATAATGAAGATGAGGATCTAGCAGGAGCAAGGCCTGAAGCAGGTGGAAAGGAAACTAGGCGCGACATACGGCGTGGTTTGGGGCACTCTTCACCTCCAGGGAATGATCACAGTTGGCTGCTGAAGGTGTGGACTTGGCAGCGGTCAGACTCTGTTGCTGCTGCTGTTTTCGAGAGCTCTTCGACGACGTGGATGCTACTGATGTCGTGGAGGTAGTAGTACTAGCAGTAGTCACAGCTAAGGTGGTTGCAGGTGCAGTCGCGCCTACTGGCAGGCTGCCGGTAATCGCGTTGGGGGGACTGGGTGCTGGCAACTGGCCGTTCGCCAATTCACCTAAAACAGGCAAGTGTACGACTCGGAATCAACGCACACACCACGGCAGTAGCAACGACCACGACCACCAACATCGAACCAAGACATCTGTGAATCGCTTTGCACAACTACTGCGACCTGGTTAATGCATTGAAAACGCGGAACAATACAACAGGAGAATGTGCAATTCGCCTGTCTCCATGTTGACGCCACCTACCTCGATTCTACACTGTTGAACCGCACGACGGTGGCAAGAAAGAAGACCTATGAACACGGCACTTCAAACCGTTACAACCAAGTGTCCATATGTCACTACAAGCAATTCTGCATCATCGAGAGGCGAGGAACATTGCGGTTGAAGGACACATCCGAGGAATTCGATAAAAAACCCTTCTCCAAATCAGCGTCATGGAATGCCGGCCACCACACCGACGAAGAAACGTCTAGCCTCTGACAAGAAGTGACATTCAACCAACAAAATCTCAGCTTCATGAGATATTGGGCAGTTGGACGACCGCACTACAGCGGTTAATAAAACACTTCATAGCATAAAAATGGCGTAGATGAGCGAACATCGCACTTTTCACAACGTTATTTCGCATATACCGTCGAGGCGCGATTGACGAGACAAGAGCAGGTAATCTAGCAAACTGCATTTCTACATCCCAGGCAAAAAATGCCACCGCACCAACCTCTGTTCTGCATTGCGGAACCTCACGACGATGGCATGGGAGAAGACTGGTGACACTTCAAGCAGCTACAATCAAATGCCAACACGTCGCTGCAAGTCCTTTCACAACCTCTAGAAGGAGGAATCAGCACTGGTTTGCGTAAGGCATCCAACGAAAAAACGTGATCGGCCTTTGTTAAGATTGTAAAAGCCTAGCTTCTGGTAAGAGGTCACTTTCCACCAGCATCTCAATATGGCAAGACATTGGCAAGTTGAACGACCATGATTAAACAACTACTCGATAGTGCGACACTGCAAATTCGGTTCTCACGAGGCCAATGACCGAGAAGTCGTCTTCCCACCATGAGTCTGAGCATTTCAAAACAACGCTTCCTCGTGTGTTTATACAGACAGGCACGAATAAACTGCTAGGCAATCATTAAAAATACGCGAGAATAGGGATTCACATGAGCAGATCTCTTATTTAGACACATTCAAGGATTAAATTTCAAACATAGCAAGGCAAGTTGGAGAATGATAGGCACACCTTTCAAGATATCGTAAAATATTTCTATGTCTAGTCCAAAACTTAGCAAGTACACTATCGACCTAACCTCCGGTTAACTGGGCGAGCACCGACGACTGGACAAGGTAATGCTAGAGAACAATTTAGGGAGTGGGGACAGTCAAGCGGAGTAGTGATGAGTCACTGCCTACACAGAAGAATAAATCACCTGCCTCATGTAGAGACCCACCCCTCTCGCCCCCCGTCCCATCACCACCCTGTCGTGAGTGTAAGAGGAAAAAATTCGTGACGCGAAAACGAACAGCCGGAATTGGCCGTCAGACGGAGGCTGTAGCACATTGCAGCGAGTTTGTGGACTCAAGTCTTAATTCACACTGAGTCTGCATGGACGTCGGACAGAAGACGTTGAAATCACAGGTAGAAGGCTACCAAGTCTAAAGAAGAGCTGTAAACTACTGTGCTGCCTTCTTTTGAGACGCACCTACATGATTCGTGAAGAGGGTCTTTATAGCCGTTTGGTGACCTGTGAAATTCTGACGCCAGTTTGGTCTCTCAATCGTCGCCTGATGGCAACAAGGAAGGTATCTGTTTGGCTACACGACAACGCAGATACATGCTGCCAGCGAGGAAACAGTCGCGAGAACGCGTTGGCAGCTCTTAAAGCGGCGTAGACTGGATTGGACGGTGGTCAGGCAGCAGAGTGAGCACAGAATTCCCGCCACAGCGACAATCGTCGGTGCTGGAGAGGTGAACACAATCAACGAGGCGGTGGAAAGTGGTCTCTAGACTGCGGTGGTGCTGACGGCAGAAATTCAAGAACTGAGAGGCACCTTGTTAACCTCTGAAAAATGCGCTGCCATCGACGGGTGTGTTGTGAGCAAGTTGGATTGCCAGTGACCTTGGTGCAGGAGTAAACAGCGCAAACCAAGCAATGGGCAATGCGTCACATCAAGGCAATGCACGCACGCGCAAAAGTACACCAAGGATGCCATGAATTAAGACTAAATGTGTTTTTTTTGACAACACCATAAACAGCCAGATAATTGCGCGCACGCCTGAATAGTCGAGAATGATACCAATTTACCAATGCGACCTCTCAATCGTGTGTGTGTGTGTCTCAAGCAACGTCAAAACGCACGATGGGATTCGTTTGCGGAGATTTGTGTCGAGAGTTGTTGGGATTTGGCGTAAAAATTTTACCTCAGCCGCCCAGATCACGCAGCCAATAAGATTGATGTACAAATACACACACACACACACATACACGCTCCTGGCATCCGCACGTTATGGTTTTCGCTAGCACCAACCGTCCGTAAACACCAGACGCATTCCTTTGCCTAGGCCTCGACAACCCACCCACAGGACGCGTTGAGACATGCCAAAGCGCCTGGACCAGTCTGGGGAAGCCATGCGTTGCGTGGAAAATGAAATTTCATCGACTTAAACGAAAACGCCGCACGGGAGTAGTGTGGCTGTGGCAGATTATTTACAATCTGCGCCCCGGTGCTGACACCCTGCCCCCGAAGCAGCTTAAAAATGAAACTTAAACATCACGGAGACTATGAGTCATCGGAGGATGGAATTAATGTCTCATTTTCCCACTTACTTCGAATCCCTTTAAATTAGCCCATATCCTACATTTGAGGGAGGTTCAGTTCTGTCGCCGTAGCTGCTTTCCACTTAGACCATGTCAATTGAGGTTTCACCTCCGGTAAAGGGAATACGTACAAAGGAATGCAGTTTAATAAAAAAAAGTCGATTTAACTAGGAGTAGGAGAGAAGCACGGTTCGACTTGCGAGACGGACAGACGACGAGCCGGTGAAAGGGAAGGAATACTACGCGAGAAGCCCCACTTTCCAACGAGAAATTTGTGTAAACTTCCGCCCAAGTGGCGTGGTTGCCCTCGGAAACTAGAGTTGACAACCATGTCGAGGAGTTCGGCAGCCCCGTCGACACTGGTGAGGTGTATTAGATACATTTCGGCACCATCACCACGAATGGCAGCACAATTGATGTCCGATTGGACAATTGACAGCAGAGATATGCAAAATTCGATGACATGATGGAGATCTGGCAATAATACCAAGTTCGCACGAGAAATGGGCGAAGAATTTGCACAAAGTGGATTCCAGCATTCCACCAAGAGTCACATAAAGTAGCCCACAGTAAACAATCCATTTGGAAGGTTTTATGACTAAATCCAACCGAAGGGAAACGTCACATATAAGGTTCACCCGCCTGATGCCATGAAATCCTTTTCACACACACACACACGAAAAGATCCCAACATAAATGGAGGCCAATCCTCGGGTTTTGCGATTGGCTGCGCAGGGGAAAACCAAAGCGTGCGTGTGTCCGTTTATTGAATAAAAACAGCCTGTTTGGAGCGCATTAAGAAGCAAACGAACAGACGAACTAGCAGCAATGCACTATAACACACGATGGTCGAATAATTAAGGCGATTACTTGAAAGAGGACGCCACACGTGAGCAAAGACGATTCAACGAAGGCAACAAAAACGGTATTGACCGAAACAGCGTTGGGTCAGCTAACACACCTTTAGAGCACTTGACACACACACATTCTCCCTCTCTCTCGACTTGGACGCTTGCTTCTCCCCGCGCAGTTAAAAAGGCAAACCACCAATCAGAACTGATAAATAAGCGACCTAGCTAAACACTCTGACCGACTTGGCTGAGGACCGAGGTGAGAGCAGTCGTCCCTCGTATGAACACACAAAAAAATCGGAAAGGAGAGAGACAGAGGGCATGAGGATGACTAAAAACAGACCAACAACCCATGAGGTTCAGAGATATGAGGTGAGGGAATAATGGGGGGGGCAGGCGGAGGGGGAGGGAGACGGGACGTACCAATGAGCGGCGAACGGTCGACACAAATCGACGCTCAGTGGAATGGTCTTGGGATCGCGCAGACGAACCGCCACCTCCACGTAGAGGAAGAGAAAGCACATTGCCACGGTTGGTACGCACACGCCACGCTCTAGGAAGAACAAACAAACAAACAAACCAGTAAATACACCCTGGGGAATTGGACTCCGTGTTTGTTTATCAAAGTAAGTCGCCCGTAAGTGCGTTGTTGTAGATAATAGCGTGGAATAATCGAGGTCGTGGAAACTGTGGACTTGAGGCGGCTTACACCAATGGCAGCATTTAAAACATCTCCCGAAAGAAGCGAAATTAGATAGGAACGTTGATAACAGTTAAATTAGCATGATTGGAGCACCCTGAGGTTCGCTTTTGAAAGAGAATCCAATCACATCAGCTAGATAGTCGATGAATGTAGCCATGAAGTCACGAGACAAGCGAGAATTTGCTCAGGAACACAGTTTAGAGCCGAGATATTTTTTTTGTTTCACAAACTAAACTGACTAGAACCGTCACCTGGCGTAATGCGCCGAGGTTCAAATCGGGTGAGCAGCCACTTGGCCTCATCCAAGGCACCCCACAAACCCAGCAGCGGTCGCAGAGTAGGCGAGCGCGGACCCCCACACTGTGCGGTGAGTGTTTCAGCTGTCACGGCGTGCACACAGACGCACGGGCACGCCTCCTGCATGCCCTCCTGCATCCTCCGATTCCTCCGTCCGTCCGCCATTGGTTCATTGTCCAGCCGCGGCGTGGCAAACACGTTCAAACGCGCAAAACCACCACCACCCCAAGTGTGACGCCTGAGCATGGGCTTCATAGCATCGCTTGTTCGCCCTTCCCACTTCGCCTTCAAGGGGCTGCGGACGCGGCCTGTGCTCCACAGGTCGCGAAAAGTGGTGTTGAAGTCACATGAAATCGGCCTCGCACAGGAGTGCGATCGACAGCGGGTTATTCAAAGTCACAATCAAACTAAGCCCGGAAACACCAAGTCACAAGCAAGTTGCACTACTTTGTGGAGCCACGTGGCACACACACACACACACACACCCAGACTACTCACAAAGCTAACACAACACCTTCACTGCCCCACTTACGACTTGATCGTGTGTGCACGTGACAACACAGGTGGGGTGTGAGTGTGTGTGCAGATAGCCCAAGAGAGAGGGGGAACGCCAGTTCGCATCGATTCTTCACGAGTCCAGCAGCTGGAATCATCAAACCAGAACACAATGGTGTCGGTAAAAACCGCAGACCTCGTGGTAACTCGTCAGAGGATCGCAAAGAAGTGCACGCATACATACACACACACGCTGGGCCTGCAGTTGCACCGCCCCGGGTGGGGTGGAGGTAGGTAAGACTAGTGGGGGAACGCTGTTTCGAGGTCAGGTTAATTAGACCCGGAAGAAGTGCTTTAAACCCGAGACGGCAAGGGCATTGCCGTGCGGAGACAGTTTCGCATGGTAACAAACCGCCAAACGTGTGTGGCGCGCACACATTTCGTGGTCTACCATGCCCAGAATTGCAGAGAAATTAACCCAGCGTATCCAAAAGGTACGGACTTTGATTGCGTCGGATCATGCTTGCCATGGGTGTGAAGGCCGAATTCCTGTCAATTCCATGCCCGTTACGAGATTTTTGGTGTCAGTTGTCACGGTGATAGGGGCAATCAGCTGGCTAACAGCTCGGCGACCAATCACGACTCGCTGCAGTACCAACAATCGCGCGCGCTGATTCGTTAAAAACGTACGTGCAATAAGACGAAAATTTCAGTGTTGCATGACGAGATCCTCGCGTAACTGTATTGTCGGTTTCCGTGCTACTAACAACATGGTTGAACGCTCTCAAGGAAGGGGTTTAGGTGGATCTGCGGGAGTACATCACAATAAGCCGATTAGATACTATGGTACGCATCGGGGATTTGAACAATCACACCTGGCAACACTTCATAAGATGGTGATAAAGGCTTCCAAAATCCAAGTAAAAACCACAACGAGATTTTTAGCCACGACGCTGCTTTGTCGCAGCCAGGAGGAGCTACGCACCTCTCAACACGGTGATGTAAGTATCTTCTTCGTGTGCCATGACAACACGAGGAAAAAGCATCTGATCTGTGGGAACAACACACCCTTGCAACCTGACACACCCCGACGTTTACGGGCGCCAGAGGTGCTAAAATCGATGGAGAGGGGGCAAGGTAAACGCTTACTCACCGGCATGCCACACTAGCTCGATCCACACGCAGGTGCTGCCGAAGAGAAAGAGCCACGACGAGGGAACGAGCAGGTAGCAAATGAGGTCCGAGGTTAGCGCGATCAGCGTGAAGAAGACCGCGAACGCCTAAAAGGCAGACAGCACAGCACGGAAAGGTAAAACATTTGGGCAAAAACAGTAGTCCCAGGGTAGTCTGGCGTTTTTGCCAAGTTTACGACAGCACATGCCCACACAACGTGTGGAGTGCGGTAGCGTCACACCCCCGGGTGGGGATAGGGGTTCCCAAAAAAAAACAAGGAGGGAAACAGAATCATCAATCGTTTGGCCAGCATTCTTCGCCTTCCTGGAATCTCAGGACAACGCGACCGACTCTTCCAAAAGTCCAAAGAAGACTTGAGTCGTCTTAAAGCCGCCACCCTCGTAATCGTCTCCTACAGTCACAGTTAAGTGAGTACCAGCTGCTGATGTTTGGCGCGACTTCAAGACCGCCGACGATTGAGTCTTGTCGGCTGAATGTCTGACGAATCGACGACATTTGTACTGACAAAAGCGAATGGAATGCAACAGGACTTGGTGGACTTCCACGCCGAGCAATTCTCTCCATATTGCATGACCAGGAAATTCCAGTCAGTGCTAGCTTATAGGCTACGCCATTCAATGAAATCTGACTTGTGGAGAACAGCACTTAAGGCAACACCGGAGGAGGAGGAGGATGATGATGATCACGTTTCACAATTAGCGCAGGTGCTGCGTTGTTTAGAAAATAAACGGTTGATTTTCCTTCAGGTGCTTTGTGCGTACTTAATGATTGATTATGCCAATTTGTGGTCACACCTGGTCAGTAAACACATGGAAAATTTTGCCACACAGACGGACAGAGAGAAAGAGGCTAAGAACTGAGTATGCATCCAGTGTGCACTCAGAACAACAGTTCACACTAACTCAAAATGACGGCACCCACATATTAAAGTCGAGATAATCGTGACGGCAGATAATGTTCGTCCCCCACTTAGCAACGCACATGCACAAAAAAGCAACTACGTTTGCCCAGCAGAGCAAAGGTACCATTTGCTTCAAAAAAAGTGTTAAAAAAATTTATTTCACGAAGCCCGACACATACAGACATTGACGTTGAAACTAAATTGCGGCAGGCCACATCGTAAAAACTACGCAGGGTGTCACGTTTCGCCAGTACCCTGTCCGCAATTTCGCTTAGAGTGGATTTCAAGTGAGGCCACGTCACTGGCACATGAGTACATTGGCGTGCGACGACCCACACCAACCATCGCTGTGAATATACTCTCTCGCGAGCAATTCCGACTACCGATCAGGGCCCAAATCAACTCCTACCGTTAGGCCAGTTTGCACAGATTGTCGAAGCTAACGCATTACGGAACGCCATCTTATCCCGAGACTCCCGATTGGTCAATCCCCTGGCACTGAGTTAATTGACCAACTCAACCCGTCGGCTACCCTCAATCCATCGACCACGGCTACCAGCCAATCGATTCGACAAAACACCTGCAGAAATTCAATTAGCCGGAACTGGAGGATCTCAAGGCAGGTGTGCAAGTTGAGATGTGAGACATTTTAAATAAAAGCACCCAATTAGAAAATTGTGCATTAAGGTGCGAGACACGAAGGTATGAAAGCGGTGCAAAATCACATTGCATGTTTTGATTAGTCGAGATTGCGTGGCACTGAACAATGGGTGGGTCTGGTTAAGTGCTCAAGTGGATTTTTTTGAAATCACAAAACACCTCAACGCAAATGACTCGAGCACAAAAAACCACCACCAACGACTGGGATTTGACACGAGCAAAGTATTTCCACAATTGTGGATGTGAGTTTGATGAGTGTGAGTAGGGGCTGGCGGGATTATGCGTTAGGAACTGATGAACTGCTTTTGTTACACACAGACACGAAAACTCGCGACCGAGTACCGCTTTCACGGACAAGCAGTCGAGTGAACCAGGATTGACTACTAGTAGCCGCTGACGCTGTCGTACCGGGCGTTGCATAATCGAGGTTGGCGCGAATGAGGCAGCGTAAGGCAGACCAACAGACGCGTGTTGTTATAAGCGTACAAATGATTCATCAGTTGGGCGTTGCATGGACTACAAATAATGCATGCCTGATATGCGGAATCAGCAGGGATACTGCGGTGAATGGGTGGGAAAAAAAGGCATTTACTGCCACCCCTGAGTAGAACTAGTGCTACGACGTTGACCCTTTTAATGACAACTAAGCGCCCTCGCGCATCAGCTGACCTATTTGGATTGGCTGATTCGTTCATCACGCGTTGTCCCACACGCCAGGAAAAATTGCCGCATAACAACCAGGAACTGGTAAAAGAATCTACATTCGTCGTTTCACACAGCAATGGGTGGCTGTGGTCTGAAGCTTCGTGATGGAGTAGACTTTTAACTTCGCAGTTTGGAGACCTTCGACACAGCGACGAATTGGATTTCGAGCTACTACGGTCGTAAATCGACTGGGAGGCATTAACAAAGCCGCACTACATTGACATGTGATGGGTCTCTACTTGACGTGCAAGCTAACCGAGTGAATTGCCTCAGTGAGACGGCAAAGCAGCATTCGTGAGCAATGCGACGACCACCGTGATAAGGAAACACCATCTAAGGTCTCGTCGTCTTCACGTGTATTAATTGGGACTACGACGCTGCGTTTACGGCTTCCACTGGTTTGTTTCCAGTGAAATTGCTTTCAAACCAGGGAGATAGTGAAATCGCGAGCGCCCAAGGCCTGGTGATGACAATGTGAGATACAAACAACACGAGACTCGAGTTGATTCAGACTTACGCGGGAGGCAGCAATGATAGCGGGCAATTTTGCCAACGCCCACAGAAAATTCCACGATTGGCCAGCGTGTTGTGACGAGGGAGGCAAGTTGGGCGGTTTTTTCGGGAGGGGGGAAGGAAGGGGTGCGTGTGTGAAGGGCAGACTTAATCGGACAAAAACGTGACCCAGGCATGCGAATTCGCCCAAACGCATAAGTAGTAAGATGTTTAAGAAACAACACCACGGGCGACAATTACCCTCTCAGCTGTTAACCAACACACGGAGTCGTGATTGGGGCATAATCGTGATTGACGCACTGGCCAGCTGTTACGGTTGCAGGGACTTGGTGAGCAGAGCATAAGTGTCATCGAAAGAAAACTCACGCCACAGTGTCGACAACCCATTTCCCACTCCCCCTAACCTCTGCCTGCACAAGGCGTCGTGGAAACCAAGCTTTTGCCTAAATACTCCCAATCGACAAATTTACCCAAGGACAAAGTTGATGTCAGTTGAGTCAAAACAATAACCTCGCCTGATTAAGATGACACAAATTGCGGAATCTTTAAAAAAACGCTCATTACTATTCACTAATTTGGGCATGAAACGTCATCAGAACCGCCTATTTGCACAAGCGGGGTGCGGTGTTACATTGTCGGGGCTGTTCGCGGTAAGGTGGCATTCAATGCAAACTGTGCACAAAAGATGCATACATTGAACAAACAAGAAGAGCACACGGTCGACTTACCATGCCTTGGTACTTGAAAGAGTCGTTGATTGTGCGAATCAAAAGCCAGCAGGGCCACATGTATTCGAATCGAAACTCCATCAAGAAATCCAGCACCATGATGGTGGACCAGATGAGAAACAACTTTAGGTAGGATCCAAAACTAAACGAAAAAATAAGCCCGGTTAAAAATCACCCCTTTGACCGCATATGCTCCGGCAACGCCTTTCAATACGATCCGAAACTCAATGACATGAGGAATTTGGAGTTATTTATTGAGGAAACTAAACTGTAGGGATTACGCAGTTCGCTTTTCGGTTAAGTAATGGCTGTGAGTTAAGTTTGTACAGTTACCACCTCATACCTCGCAGTCGAATCGATTTTCGCCCATAAAACTCTACACGTCATTGATAACCTCACTTAAAACAAGACTAAGTCAAATCAGCGACCGCTTGGATTAACTCACTCTGCCTACGAATTTATCTAATAGGTGGTTGGGTGTTTGGCTGCTTCGGCACTAGCGTTTTTATTCACATACTTCAAACCATACCGTGGGTTGTCAGATTGTGAGCAATTACGACGGTCACTGGCATCTTGCGTTGCTCAAATTACCTCATCTTTCTTGTGAATTAATTTGACAGATAACTAGGGGAAATCTTAACTTAGATTTAAACCTCGATTACCGCATTTTTTTTCTTGTGCACACCACTGAAATTTCCACTTGAAAAATTTCCCAATTGTGTTTTATCGCTGCTTTGACGAATCTCGCACCACGTCGTACTTTTCAATTACCCAGCAGACGCATAGGCGCGGAGGAGAAAAACGCCGCCTGCGACAACAATCAGCACGTGCATGCATCAACAACTGCTCTGATTTGCGCCAATGAGGTAGTGAGTTGGACTTCGCCGCGAACAATACTACCGCACTATCCCCAGACTGGTTAATGTTTATTTATTGAGATAACGAAAGAGCTCGCTACAGGCGAAATCACAGTGAATTCGCGCAAAACTTCGAAATAGATGGAGTTTCAAGACCTTTAAATATATATTTCAATTGCAGTAGCTAATTACCGTCTGGGATTGTCAAGGACTTACAACAACAAAAACGTATTCAAAATTCGGTTGAGGTGATGCATGACCTGGTGCTACATACATTTTGGAATTACACCAAGAAGCGAAGACATTCGCAATGTCGCAACTGCTAATAGATATTGACTAAGGTTAACGGGGAAAAAAACATTGCACAAGGCTGTGAGTAAAGTGAGGAAAACGTTATGACGTTGAGCAACGCACGCATTGCACCTGGCGATTGTGGAAGCGAGCACGCACATCGTAGGTGTGGTAGTGATTAATTAATGCGACAGAGATGTCGGTGTAAAGTTAAAAGGTTTTCCTCGACGTAAAAATTGCGACATCGATGGGCTGCTGCTCATGCACTACACGCCGCGACACACGTAGACGCACAATTGTCACGATTTCGAGGCTGAAAGCCACATTTGACGCCAACACTTCCAGAACATGCAGAATTCTAAAACGTGCTGCTTTTCAATCACTGTAAAACGTGGGTTCGGTGTTTGGAAAAAGCGTTTTTATTCTGTTCAGGATGGCGTGAATGCCGCAAAACCGAAGCGAATAATAGCACGCGGTGACAGTTAAAGTACACAGGAAATGTGATGGCGTAGGTCAACGTTGAAACACGGGAACCGCTGACAGGTGACTCAGTGCCTAAAGTACTAAAACAAAAGTGGTGAGCTTATTTCCCGGTGTGAAATGCCCGCATTGTGATGTGCAAAAATGTTTAGGAATAACTAGGTAGAGTGAGATCTCAGAACACATCACGTGAGATTAACTTGGTGACGGAATCAAAAACATACTTCTGTTTCTCAATATTGAGCGGTCATAACGGAAGTGGATGGTAAAAAGCAACGCAGGCCAAAGGAAAGGAATATCCTAAAAGGTGACGTTCTGAGGAAGTGTGTCACTCTGTGGCATTGTAATAAATTCTTAACATTGGGTCCTTATGGGTTTAAAATAGTCTCAAGGTTTTAAGACAAAAGCATGAAAGCTGGAGTAATCTTGGATTAAAGCAATTTGCTTGGCCAACAGCAAGGGTTCTTCGATGTCACATTTTAGACGCTCACAACCCTGATTTGAGCATGTGTTTATCTTAGTGTTTTAAGTTAATATACCAGCAGCATAGCCAAGAAAAAGGCCTTTACGTGTGCAGGAGAAAATGAAAAATGACATTTTTCGTTTGTCCCGTCCACAAAGCGAACCAGGTACAAAGGCCACTTTGGATTCTACTCAAAAAGGCACTCACTTCAACCAGAAAGGCATGTTTTTAACAAATAAAAAAGTACACATTCGACACTTGATAAACTATCGACTATACACTCTCAGCTGGCAAAACATGGATTTGCAACCATACATTATACTTCGTGGGATTTCTCACGAGCAGCCTTATGGCAAAATCTACAATATTTACAATAAATGTCATAACGAAAGAGATTAAGCAATAAAACATTATTTAATGAAAACTTATGGCACATACGTAAAAATGACGACTTTTAAAACAGGTAGAGTGGAAAGCTTATGCCACGTAGTCTTGAAATTCCGAACTTCCGTACTTCTTAATGGAAGAGACAAAAAGCTAACTTCCCAGAAATTGTTCATTCTTTTACTACAATCTTGTCATAATCATTCTACGAGTTCAAATAAGGCTACTTCGTGGAATCTGGCTATTGTTAAGCCATCCAAGTACTAGAGTCAAAGTAACTTAACAGTAGGATGGGTGTTCCAGACAAACAGGATACTAATGATCAAACGAAATTATCGAAAAATGTCAAGATTCCAGTGAATACTTCAATTAATAAGGCGAAGACGTTTTGCCCAAAATTTTCGAAAAGAGTAATCGCTCTAGATGTCAGTGAATAGTATAAGAAAGCAGCGAAAAATAACGCAATGATAAAGTGAGTGAAACACGAAAACACAAACACAAAAAATGACAAAGAACGTTAACTCAATAAATAATCAGATCACTAAATGATCCCAGGGTTAGGAAAGCCAGAGTTATGCAAAATAAATCTAAAAAATTATATAATAATAAAAGATTTGAAGACAAAAAATTGAGGTTAAATAATAAAAATAATATTGACGCAAATGCACCCATATTAATTTAATGAATTTAACTCACTTGTTGGAAAACGCGTCGCAAGGCTTTGGTTTACGACTAGAGCGTTTGATACGACTGTATTCACAATTCTTGCGTCGTACGTACATTACTCCACACGAAAAACATGGAGTTTAATACAGAGTCCGAGTAACAACTCTGTCGGGAATCAAATCCGGTGGCAAACCTGAGCTTTAGTCATTCGTCGTTGATCCATTAAAAGATTCGTTACTATAATAATTTGCTTTTCGCATAGACAAAAACTATCCTTAATTTGCAACAACAGTTTTCGCAGCTTAATTTTTTTAGATCCAAATCATTTGCATTTAATTGCAGTCTTGATTCCAAAAAAGTAAATGGGACAGGATCATTTATACTAAAAACAGTTTTAAAAAGAAGGCACAGACTCATGGAAATTAGTTACTTTCATTTGAAATAATTTAGTTATTTACAATTGTAATTTTTAGAAACCATTTTTTTGGTTCCGGGTTCAAAGCACACTTCATGGAATAAAGTTACTTGAGTCTACCGAGGTATCAAGCATGCATTAAAAACATTTAATTTGTCGAGATTGCCTTTTCAGTTGTAATTAAATGAAATTCACGTTTTTTATATCGCTTTAAGAGTAAATACACGACCAATTTGCAATCGTGTTAAATATTTCAGCCTTACAGCAATATCTAAATCTAGGCGCCATGAGTGACTACAACGAGTACAAATTAGGCTACTTCAAGGAATCTGCCCCTCGTTAATCTGTCCTCAGAAGTTCGAAATATTGCATGTATAATTGCCCGTTTAAAATTCAAATTCTCCTAAAGGATCTCCTACAATTTAATGTGACAATTATCGAAATATATTTCTTGAATAACGCCGAGAACCGCAATGAAAATAGACAGAAAGTAAAGTTGAAGATTCCCTATAATGCCTTTTTATCTGTGGACACATTTGGAATAGCGTAATAAGATTGTTTGGTCAACAAAATTTAGGTTGGTCTTCCTAATAAAAATACAGATTTTTGTGCAATTTGGGTCTTCTTTGAAAATAGGTGAAAGGACTAAATTTAAGGTGCAATAATATCTCGACACTTGTCAGGCAGTACATGCGGCGAGGAATTTGCAGATTTGAAAAATGCAATATCAAACATCAACGAAGCGGGACAGTAGCACAGCAGAGGTGTCCAACAGTTTGTTGTGGGCTCCAGCACGTGGTCTTGATCCACGCCGGTTCCACTGAATTAACCCTGGCCCAATTACGCTTCCCTGATACCCGCGATGAAGAAAGAGACCGAAGAGGACGTGGACACAACCGTTCACTTTAGAGCTCAACCATTTTGGTGCCGTTGTGTCGTGTGTGGAGTTTGCGCGTGTGTATTTATACTTCAGATGCGTGAGTCATACGTGCGCTAACAACGATACCTAGGTGTAAGGATAATCCAGGATATATATTCGTGCGAATAAGGAGGGAATTGAGGATCTGCGCGACTGGCGACATGCTGCGAAAAGGGGAATATTGTGTCGGGGGATGGAGGGAACGAATTGAGGAGTGTGTATAAACACGATTCACAATAAGCTGAAGGCTTATGCACTGTCAGTTGATTTGTGGCCAACTATGTTTGAAAAATGAGAGGAAAATATCCTGTGGTATTTCCGAGGCTTTCGTTTCGCTGATTTATTTTGTGCTGTATGCAAGTTTGTCGTGATTAAACAAGAATTTCTGAAGAGAAATTGACAAATCCATTCACCATTCCAGTGACACATTATCTTTGGCTGCATTGTCAATTAAACTGTAACATTAAACACTACTATCTACCAATAGTAAACTTTGCTGTATTTTGAAAGTGCGGTTTCAAGTAACTTTCTGTTACTTTAAACAGCACTAGCAACGTTGCCTCAATAAACACGCTGCTACCTTTACCGACAAGAATCCATAGTTAGCGTCAGTATGATATCCTTAGACCCAAACATTTTGAAAAGAATGTGCGACCCACAAATGGCCAATAAAAGTGTTACTTTTCTGTTCTAATGCGTGCAATATGCGTACAGTGATGATTTACCCTGCTGCACCTGAACACGCGTGTGCATATTATTTGTTAAATATTAGTGAAATAAATTGCCCGTGCCCAGTGCGTGGAAGGGAGCTACAGCCCAGTAGAATATATTGGCGAATCACGAGTTCCAATAGATGGTCGGATGCCATTCGTCCACATCCTTCATATTGACGGCGCAGTTCATTATTAAGTGCTACCATGATTTCAGTTGACCTTACCCAGTGCCCCATAGGATTCAGGAGGCCATGTTCAAGTATAATCTTACAGTGTTAGTTTTGTGTCGCTTTAATCGCGTATTGATGGCCATCACGAATGGGACGTAAATTGCCGACAGGAGCTGACGGGTGGTGCTGTGCCACTTCGGGGATGTTGAGTCGAATTTTTTCCATTCACGCTACTGAGACAACAGAAAAGACACGTAGAAGACACGGCCGTGTATCAGACTAGCTCAACCCAGATGTTTTCTGTCAGTGCGTTGGCTCAGATTAGTGTATGTGCAAGTTAGTTGCGGGTTAACAGTAAGCGTCATGATGTAGTTAACGTACAATTGACGCAATGAGAGCAGTTGTTCCCCATGGCTGAGATGGGAAAGTCGTGTGTCGAAGCCTGCAGCAACCAGATTTACAAGCGTGAGCCAGTACGAATCACGAAGCGGTCGTCGATGGCAAATATGGCAGAGCAGGCGCCAAGCACACTAATTTTGGAGTGCCCTTTTGTGTTCCACTGAAACCATTCGTCAATGAGGTCGGGTATTAACTTTAAAGTCTGCCCTTCGCATTCCCTGACTCCTGCTGGAAACTAAACTGCCAGTTCATGCCAAATGTGTTATTGATAGGGATTCAGCGTTGTGAGTAGAACTCAGAGGTGCGTGAAGGGGAAAATGTGCGAGTCGGAAGAGAATACGCCGTGGAGACTTCCGACTACAACAACTACTCACGCAAAGTACTTTTTCGCAAAGTTTGAGGTGAAATCAAGTTGGCCTGTGCAACTAATCGCCAAACTATTGACGTTTCGCCGTTTGACCAAAAAGATAATTGACACAATTCAATTGTTGCAGATATTGTTTTTCAGGCGACTGCAAATATGGATCGAAACGGATTATACTATTTTAATAGAGACTGATTAACTAGCGACAGATTCCCTGAAACAGCCTAATTTGTGCTCGTTGTAGAATTACAGTCTGATACAGTAGTGATTGCGAGTTCCTAGAATGGAGGCAGAATGTAGAGAAAGAGCTGACACCTCGTCATTTCTTATCCTGCCCCACCACCCATTTAGGAACCATTGTCGACGTATCTAAGGCTTAGCCCAAATAAATCGCTTGCGCGTAAGTGTAGAATACCCGAGCCCTAATAGGAAGAATACTGGTACAACAGAACAGGCTGTACTGACCAATCAGAAGCCAGAGCCACACGTCAGGCGCCTTCCATCCGAGTCCACCACGCTGGCCACGCCAGTCATTATATACTGCGTCTCATCCATGTCCTTCTCTGGTTGGCTGCCTTCCTTTTCCGCATGCCATTGGATTGCAGAGAGACACGGGATTGGCTGAGGCCAGGTGGTCCAACATGTCTGCGCCCTAATCCGACGCCACACTGCCTCCCCCTTAGGAGTGAAGCTGCCCTCAGCTTCCGGATTGGTTCGCCGCACTCTTGTTGAGATCCAGTGTTGGTAAAATATCCAGTTCA